CTAGCAAAGAGTGTCAAGAAAGAGTGTCTAGCAAGAATGTCTGGCAAAGAGTGTCCAGCAAGAGTGTCTAGCAGAGTGTCAAGCAGGAGTGTCTAGCAAAGAGTGCCCAGCAAACGTGTCAAGCAAGAGTGTCAAGCAAGAGGGTCTGGCAAAGAGGGTCAAGATAGAGTGTCTAGCAGAGAGTGTCAAGAAAGAGTGTCAAGCAAGAGTGTCCAGCAAGATTGTCAAGAGAAAGTGTCATGAAAGATTGTCTAGCAAAGTGTGTCAAGAAAGAGTGTCTAGACGGCTGGGGAGGCGCTGGCGCTGCTTTGGTTGATGGCTCTGCGAGTCATCTCCGAAAACAAGAACGCTTTGAGTGCTACGCCTCTGTACAAAATGACCGCGTTCGGGTTCGTGGGTTCTATCAGGTTTTTTACCGCTTCTGTAGGATTTTCAGTATTTGATGGGAACATGTTTGAATAATAGTGTTTATGTCTAAACTCTAATTTTTTACTTTTTATTTGGGGTTTAAATCAAAGTTCAACTTCAAAGTGGTTGACGTGTACATGAAACAATATAGGGAGGAGAGGTAGGAAGTTCTACCTTGGAGCTTACCACCCAAGTTTTGGCCAACTTTCCACCCCAAAAAAAGAAATTGTGGAAGCGAAGCAACAGTTTTACTCTGAACGCAGTACTTTTCACAGCAATTGCTACCAATGTATTCATTTGCCAACCTTCCAGCCAGGAAGGAAATCGTTGTTAGATATCAAACACATTCCATCAATTTGCCTTGCGTTCCCCCAAAACGCCCGCGCCCTTTCCCACAAAGTGCCCGGTGACCGCCAAGACACTCCCAGAAGGCCCAGGATGAACCTGTTCAACTGCAGCATGTTCCAAAGCAATGCGCGATGTGTTTCAAACCCCACATCCGCAGGGCTGCTGAATGAAAAGGGGCGTCACAGGTTTGACTTGTTTTGCCCGCTTTGCTCTACCAATTCCAACAAGCTCTTTGGTTTTCTTCGTTCTTGCTAGGTCCATTGGACCTCTGCACTGATCCTGGCAGGTCCTGCCCTTCTCAAGGCATACCCCTCAGCTAGCTGTCTCCCAGGATTTCTTCCAAGCTGGCCAGTTTAGTGAAGGAGCCTGATGAAAACTGCCTAGCTTCTCCAAAATCAACATTCTAAACACACGGTCATCCCTAATGCGTTGGAGGCCAGGGCCCCAAGTTGGGAGGCCAACGCTAGTAGGTGTATGGTACGCGCAAGAACTCAAAACTCAAAGCGCGCAAAACGACACGGTTGGAGGTCATTACTAGTGCGTTAGAGGCCATCGCCCCAAGGTTGGAGGCCAGCTCTCATGGGTTTGTGCATGCGCAGACAAAAAACTCAAAACTGCACAAAACTTAAAACTGCACATTTAGATAGGGTAGGGTAAAAGAAGGATCAAAAAGGAAGGGAATCGAGAGACAAGTCTGCCAACGAACCCTTCCTCCTGTTACCCATTAGATTAAAGCAGGTACATGGGACTGGCCAAGTCCCACATCCCGCGATATCGCCCAGCTTCGTTGGTCAAGGTTGGTGATATCGCGCCTCGACCCCCTGCTCGAAACCAATGGGTTCCCTGTGAGTCCAAGGCTTACACACACACACACGCCTCCCACAAGGGAGGCATGTGTGGCCTCCATCCTGCCCGGAAAGGAGGTCCCCCATCCTGGAAAGGGGGTAATGCGAGCGCATGTGTGCGCCAAAGAAGACACAAACTAAGGGCTGGGCGAAAGTGCGCGCAAGACAAAAAAGGATGAGGACGACGTGGCTAAACATAAAGACAGAAGCGCATGAAAGAAAAGCAGGAAAAGAAGTCAGTGGGGACCAATGAAGAGGGAACCAAATGAAAGAGGACGAGCTGATGAAAGGCCCAGACTCATTGAAACATCTGTTGCAGAACCTAGTTTGCTTGTAAGGACGCTGCGCGCGAAGAAGGAAAGGAGAAAAGGAAGAGAAAAGGAAAAGGAAAAGAAACGACGAGGGACACCAAGCAAGAAAGAAAGGGGAGGGAGGAGAGAAAGAGAGAGAGAGAGAGAGAGAGAAAGAAAGAGAAAGAGAGGAAGGGAGAAAGAAAGAAAAGAAAAGAACAGAACAGAAACGAAAAGAAAAGAAAGACAGAAAGAAAGAAAGAAAGAGAGAAGGAGAGAAAGAGAGAAAGAAAGAAAGACAGACAGAAAGAAAGAAAGAAAGAAAGAAAAAAAGAAATACAGAAAGAAAGACAGAAAGACAGAAAGACAGAAAGAAAGCAAGCAAGCAAGCAAGCAAGCAAGACAGAAAGAACGAAAGAACGAAAGAAAGAAAGACAGGAAAAACCAAAAAAAGGAAAGAAAGAAAGACATGAAGAAAAACAGAAAAATAAATAGAGAAAGAAAGACAGAAAGACAAGAAGAAAGAAATAAGGAAATAAAAGAAAAGAAAAGAAAAGAAAAGAAAAAGAAGAAAAGAAAAGAAAAGAAACGAAAAAAATGAAAAAGACAAGAAAAGAAAAGGAAAGAACAGACAAGAAAAGAACAGCAATTAAATAAAAGAAAAGAAAAGAAAAGAAAGAAAGACAGAAAACAAGAAAGACAGAAAGAATGAAAGGAAAGGAAAGGAAGGAAAGAACAGGAAAGAAAAGAAAAGACATGAAAAGAAAGGGCAAGGGAAAGGCAAAGGCAAAGGCAAAGGCAAAGGGAAAGGGAAAGGGAGTGGAAGAGGAAGAGGAAGAGGAAGAGAAGCGAATAAGAGAAAAGGGGACAGGTGTTCCCAGCTACGAAATGATCGTCCAGGGACACACCAAGGAGAAGGGTGTACTTGGGATTGCACCCAGGGACGACCCCCCAAGAGGAAGAGAGGAGAGCGGGGGAAGGGAATTAAGATTCCAACAGGTCTCCAGGGACCTTGAATAGCTTCGGTCGCTACGACCACGTGGTGGCGTTAAGCCTGCTTGGGCCCGCTGCGGTCACCTCATGGCTTGTCCGAGGACTGCCTTCTTGTTTTCAATAATCCATCAAGTCTTGGCAAGTAACTTTGGCGTATGCCTCCTACGCTTGCTGCGAGCTGCTCTGTATCGGGCAGGGGACACGTTAAAAAAACTGGTCGACGGGTGTGCAGGAGGCACTCTTTGGGTTGCGGGCTGACTCTGAGGTCAGACACACTTGAGATTTTGCGTACGGATCCTGATGCGGTTTGCCACACGCCAACCTAGGTAAAAAGGTTCCTGAGTTAAGCAAGGTGAGTAGGTTGGGGACCACCGCCTCTAGGTTGGAGGCCGTCGCATCTAGACGGGTGGCCATCATTGCCGGTTGGAGGCCAAAGCTAGTAGGTTGGTGGCGTGCGCAAAAACTCAGACGGCACAACATGACACGGTTGGAGGTCATCCCTAGTCCGTTGGAGGCCAGGGCCCCAAGTGGGGAGGCCAACGCTAGTAGGTGTGTGGTACGCACAAGAACTCAAAAATCAAAGCGCACAAAACGACATGGTTGGAGGTCGTTACTAGTGCGTTAGAGGCCATCGCCCCAAAGTTGGAGGCCAGCTCGAATGGGTTGGTGGCATGCGCAGACAAGAACTCAAAACTGCACAAAACTTAAAACTGCAGGAAGGGAACCGACAGACAAGTGACAAGTCTGCCGACGAACCCTTCCTCCTATTACCCTTGTAGATCAGAACAGGTACATGGACCACGAATACACCTAAAATATGCAAATTCCCCAAGTGACCCACACAATGTAACAAAAATCAGGTAAGCCACATACGAAGCCAACACACCAAAAAACAAAACACATACCAAACCTGCATTTTGTGCAAACTAATATCAAAAGACATTCAAAAACAAACATAACTTGAGAGAAGGTCCTATTTCTTTCTTTGCGCCACATGTGCCTGGATCCAGGGATTGATTTGGTCAAATTTCGATTTGGGACAGGCTTCTGTTTTGTTTCTTCGGCCTCAGCCTGTCCAGCACGCAAGAATCAAGAAGTGAAAAAAACATATTTATTATATGTATATTTATACATGATCGGAAGATAGAAAAAAAAATAGCTAGATCGATCATCGTGGCACGGGCCTGTCCCACGAGGTTGATTGCGGCTTTCTCGTTAGAGGTACGTCATAAGAGGCGTGCTGAATCAAGCAGGTATTCGAGCACGCAGGTGTTTGAGACATCCTGCCTGACATGCTGATGCTGGAGTTGAGGCAGTTTGATACGCTACAGAAACGACAATGATAATGAACGTTTGTTTGATGGCCTCATCTCCACCAACACATTCATCGTACCAGGGAGCAGCGTTTGAGCGATTTCATCTGAAGAACATGACTGCCATCATCCGCGATGTTCGTCCAGGTTTTTGTTTTGCATTGCCAACTTCAGAAATTGGACATTGTGTTTTGAACATATCAGCGTGGTCGGTGGCAATCGAAGATTTCAAGGGAAGCTGGTAATCATTCTCATGTTGAAATCCAGCAGGATCCCACTGGCTGCTTCCGGCCTAAGTGCCCGATTGAATGATAAGGCCACTAGTAGTTTTCCAAGCAACGATTCATTCAAACAACAGTGCCTGGAATGTTCTGGCAAGCAAGCTGCTTAAGCCGGATCGGGCTCTTGCTGTATGGGAAGCCATCTTGGTACCTTGGAGAAGACCAAGAAGGCGTGCTTTTGCTTGACACCTCTTTTCAAGTAGTTCAGTGCGCAGGAAGAGGACAAGACCCACAGTTTGTGCGACAGCTACCAAAAATAGAGAGACAGAGAGAGAGGAAGAGCGTGGGAGAGACACGATGTAAAAAGACTGTATACTGGTACTGACTAGGGCTGAATTGAACTGTGCCGTGCATCAAGTCAACGCTGTAATTCCGAGTCGGAATTTGATGGGTTTTTTCCGAGGTCAGTCCGCGGGGCCGTTCCAGTAGGTCTGCTGGAGAACTGAACAATCCTTCATGGAAAACAGCTCATGGGGTCAAATACCGCTGTGCCAGATACCAAATTCACACTGTGCTTCCGAGGTCTTTGATCCACCACTCCACCCACCGGTGCACCGGCTGCCGATCCGTGCGAGCGGGGGAGCCGATGAAAAGCGGAGACACAGTGAAGCAACAAATCCCCTTGTGTAGAGTCGATGACTCTCAAGGTGCCAAAGCATTTTGGAAGGTAATATTATGGGATGACTGGAACTAGAACTAGACAAACACTGACCTGTCAAGACATGTGACCTCCTGTACGCGACTCGGCTGGAAGCTGAGGTGTGGAGGAACTGACGGAGGACCAGGGGAACAGTTGATGTCTATATGTATATATATATATATATTGATTATTTATCTTATCAAGAACAATATTTGGCAGTCGGCAAAGGACCCAAATGGAAACCCAACAGTTTGCAGGAGGTTCCCTTTTGTTCCACATTTTGTATGAATATGCTGTGAGTTTGCGTCAGATCACAGATCTTCTCAAGAAAGTAGAGGTGTTGGACTTCACGTGTTTTGTAGGCTGTTGTGGTTTTTGGTTGTGTCAGGAACCTACAGAATGGCAACGGTACTGGGAAGCAACGAAGTTGGAGGCAACGGGGGCAGCAAGGGTTGGGACTGCGAGCCCGGGAAGCTGCATCTCAACGACCTATTCAGGATTGGTGCATCCAAGAAGGCTGGTCAGGGGACCAACATCAGAACAAAAGAGAGACACCATCGCAATTTCATGTAACGTGTTGTGTATAAGTTGTAAGTATTTCGTTTGACCAGTTGTTTTTTATTCCGCTTCCGACGTCCTTGATCCTTTATACTCTTTACTTGAAGTCATCTCGCTTGTGCAGGGTTTCACTTTGGTTGAGATGTGACAATGGAACAGGCAAATTCCCGAGATTTAACGGTGGCACACATATATATATATATACTGTATACGCATACACATATATGTATATATATAATATATAAGTCGATATAGATAGATATGTTCACATACTCATTTTGACTTTTCCGCTTTTGACAGAGGGCCGCCTGGAGACTGTGGAGGAGGGCAGCTGGGTTCCAAGCAACTTGGTAGTTATACCGCTTGGGATGGATTTGGTCATTGTTCTCATGGTGGTTTTTGTTTCCATTTCGGATATTGCCGACATCGGACGGGTTGGAGACCTCAGTATTTTCAACCAGGTCCGGGGTACAGGACCGCCGCCGAAGAAAGCTTCCGCAAATCGCCTGACTTTCAACGGTATGGAAGGGAACTCCAGGGCGATGTGATTCCGATCGCGCCTTTCTTGTGACATACTCCGCACAACCACTGGCAGAATTCCCCTTCAGAGGTGCTTTGTCATCAAGAGCATCGTCCAACTCCTTCAACTCCTACTTGACCTTTGTGGGAAAGAAAGGCTGGTGAAGGGTTGAAGTGATTGAAAGATGTTGAACGGGTCCCACCACAATTGTGATGAGGCTGGTTCTTTCTCAGGACCGCTCTGTCAGCTGAAACGTGAACCCTTGACCAACAAAGATCTACAGAGCGGGCCATACATCACTCAACACCGGGAAAGACTCAGAGCTGCCTGAGAAAGACAGCCTGAAAAGATGGAGTTTGGACAGGCTCAACGACAGCCGACTGCCTTTTTTGCAGCTGTGTCCGGACATGACAGGCCCTGATGCTCCAGAGTCTGACGAAGTCATTGGTGAGTTCGAAGAGGCTGTGTCCGGGAGCAGGATCATTGGCAGGCTGAATTATTGCGAGTTAGGCTTTCGGTGATGTGAGTTGCCGAGCAAAACGGGGCATTGAACTTACAGTTCACGGCAAAATTTTCCACGTCAAGCAAAACGTTCCACAACGGCATGCTTTAGTTGCTTGGTGTGCAGGATTGATTGAAAGCGATTGAATAGAGCATGAGAGGCTGAATAGTTTACAAGGGTGATTGTGGAGTAAGGAGATGTAGCATCGCTTGACCTGTCATTTTGCTCGTGCTGAGGCATTGTGCACTCAGGAGAGCTACCGTATGTCCTTTGATGGTATGCCCGGCTGGTTGGCCTGCGTGCGCTTTCAACTGTAAGGATCCTTTTCCCTTAGCAAGGTGAGGGAAATTGTACTAGGTTGATACCTGATCAAAGAAAAGCAATAAAGACACTCTTTTGCCCTCATCCAGGCTCCGACTCAGATGACTCCTTGGAGGCCCCGAGCGGCGAGTGAAGTCTTTTGCGGGGACCTGTGGTCATGTTACTAGCGGACTAGCGTCCTTGCTCCTTGTAGTTTGGCCAGGAGCCCCTAGTAGCGTTCTTGACTTTTGCAAGCGGCAGCCTTGCACTTGCTTCAGGAGGCCGAAGTGACGGTGCATCCGATGCCGCCTAGGCTTTGGAACACGGAAGGGGTGCAGGATGTTTGGGGCACATTCAACTAGACTGGACCTAACGAACAATTGCAGGTTGCAATCCTCAACGAGGACTATCTTTGGCAGCAAGACCCAGGTGTAGTGCCGATGTCATCTATTTTGGATTCAGGAGAGTTCGTGCAAATCCTGATTGAAACTTTTCGTTGAAGCGTTAAGCTTTCCTAAAAAAGTAGGAACCAATTCATTACAAGCGTGAGCTATCCCGCGTCCGGTTACTAGGAGTGTCCTCTTAATAGCAGCCTACCTCACCCCAGGAGCTAAACAGATATTCAAATAAAACAGAACAATAGCAAAAAACACATATAAACACACAAGTAGTAGAAAAACAGAAAACAAATAAACAAAAAAGATCAAGCAAGCACATCTCAGTGAATTGGTTTCAACCCAGTGCTGTCAGGGGCTCCTCTTCTCGGGAGAGCAGCCCACCCTCGAGCCTTCGACCGAAGCCGTTGGGGCACCAAAGCGGAAGCGAGAAACAATGCGACCCAAGATGTGTTCGTCGGCGAAAGGAGTCTTTTTTTGGTGTTAGCACAGAACCGGAACGCAGCTGTTCCACAAATTTGCTCTTCTTGTTGTTGCTGCTGCATATTCCCATCCGAGCTATATACAAATGCCCAACAGCACTTTTGTGGCCTTACAGTCCATTAAGGCCACGTGAGATGCTCATGCGAAAGGACCCTTAGTTGAGTCCAAACCAGCAAAGACCAACCAAGTTTGTGCGGCCCACCACAGGCGTGCTGAGCGGCAAGTGGAGACCCTGCAGCGCAGGGAGCTCAGTTTGATTTCCCGTCTTTTGAAAAGCTGGGGGGATATGCCTAAGGAGATAGTAGATACTAGGTAAGCTAACAAGTAGCTTCTTATGCTGCTTCTTATGCTCGGACACAGAAGGGCTCAAGCTCCTTCAAGGAAGCTCCCCACGTCTGAGGGCCGGGGGAGGTTCTCAATAATTCGGCTCCTTATTATTTTTGAAACGTAACTTTATTTCTAATGCCGGGCTGTTGCCTCATGGAGTTGCTCTTCATGTTTGGCTGCTTTGACCCTATGTGCCTTGTGGCTCACAAACCCGGCAACCACCCTGTTGGAGTTCCGGATAGAAAAGTGAATCTTTGTCACCAACCTCATGTTTAGCTGCAAGGTCACATGGAACATCAAAGGCAGCTTCAGCGCAGGTGGGCAGGGCCTGGACAAAGAGAACGAAAGGTGGTGGGCACTTGCACGTGCAAATGAAAAGGGATCCTCTACTTCTGACCTGGAGCATTGAGTGTCTCACGGACCTTTACTGTATCACTACATGGGTCAGAACCCCAGCAGACCTCCGCGGAGCTTTTAGGTGGTTTGACCCTTCTGCGAAACGAGGCTTCAAAAAGGTTTTGGAACGTCAGCAATTATGAGAAGTTCATGCTGGTACTTCGCTTATCTAATTTTCCATCATATCAGGCAAGGTCCTCCTGCACTACACTGCAACGAAGCAAGCTTCGTCAAACACTGGCTGTTGTCTTTGACGTACGATTGACCGACTAGGCTCATGATAAGAAAACAGCGACTGTGACAGTGATGAGCAAGGGAACCATAATGAGAGTTGACGGCGCCCTGTCCTTTTATCTCAGCGCTTGGAGTTATGATTCACTTGGTGGGAGTTTTGGGTTCCTCGCAACAGGCGAATGATCCGCGCTTATGGCTGAACGCCCCGGCAACGTCGCTTGTACATAGCGCTGAGTCATCTACCTAAGGTAGCTGCACTCGGATGGACGTTGTGTGGCGAAAGTCCGCCATGGATTTCGGTGTGAGTGGGTTAGAGAATGCTCGACCGTGCAGTGACCATGCACTCAGTGCAAGTTACTGTAAGTTGTTTCTCACAGTATTGGATTGAGCAACCTGCTTGGATTTAGTTTACTAGAGCTGTGGTTCCCGGTTCATTTCAATTTTCAAAGCCGAGCCACCCTATCAAACACGGAAACGACACTAATCATGGATAGCGGAAATGGTTAAAGGCATAGCTTCACGTCTTTGTACGTGTTGTTCTCTGCAAGGAAGCTACTTTCGACAACTTTGTTTTTTTTGTTAACACAAACATTTGGACATGGGAGCACAGGGTCCTAGCCAGCATGTTTAGCGGTTAGCAGTTAGCAGGATCATCGGTTACCAGCTGTGGTCCAAAATGGAAAGAAAATACGACAAAACAATATATAATGCGAACCAGAATTCACCTGCTCTTGCGTCCGCTTGTGCCGACATGGATAATACGGTGTGGAAGGATGCGTATATGATGCACGAAGATGATAGGAGTATGTAGATGTTGCAAATGCATCATTGGGGCCGCATCGCAGGTTCTCTGACATGCACAAAAAGGACAAGAGGCCGGGACTTTGCTCTAGCTTTTCACTTTCGATCGCTTATATAAGTTACGCTTCCATAAAGAAACTAGCAACCAAACGATTAGTGCGAGGGGCTTCTTCAAGGAAGCTCCCCCCGCCCTCAGACGGTGGGAGCTTCCTTGAAGCATGAGCTATCCTGCGTCCTAGCTTGAACCTGACTAGTAGCTAGTAGCTTACTCCCTTAATTATTAATTGAGTAGGAACCTACCTACTTGTATAATTAAGTAGACAAAGCAACCTTCTTTTTCAGTCTGGATCTACATGGACCCGGTGCAGGTGGGAGAACCTCCGGGAAGCTATCGCGACAGTGGAGGCCGGTCAGCTGTAGTGCGAGGCCATTCTCACCGAAGGTATTTTGAGAGGGTTTTGGCTCGTGAGTGTCCAATTCAGTAATTTGCACTGATGTTCTATTTTGTAAGGTTAGTACTTGAAATGCCCTTTCATTTGGAACTATATACCCAGAAACCCATTGTGAATGATGAGATTGAAGGCACATCGCATCTTCCTACGTCTAAAACCAGTTGTTGCTTTGACTTATACAAGCAGCAAGCAACTCATACCAAAAATCGTGGCTTCATACAATATTTGCAGGATTTGCTCACTGGACAAAGGCAGTTCTCAACGACATGGGGACCTTCAAACCTTGGGTGCCTCCGGAAGTGAAGGCCGTGACTGAGATTCGCTGGAAAGCGCGAGTTAGTTGTCTCAAACTTGGGGCGTCAGTCCGAGCTCTTGCAGGTAATTTGGATGATTTGTTTCCAAAAATCGGACTTATTGTGCTCACCTCAAGAATTTGACATGACTGTCCCTGATGTACTCGTTACAAGTAGATTTATATAATGCAGCATATACAGTGTTTTGTTGTAAGCAGGCCCTTAGTTTTCGACAAGACACTCGTCCACCAGTTGATGCTCCCAGGCGCCTGAGAAGCTCTACTACCGTGGCTTCCGCCGGCGGATGTCTCCTGGAAGAGCTGTGCACATGAAGCTGGGGCCCAGGAAGCGCAGCAAAGTCCATTGCCGTGAGTGCGAAGGTGTTAAGCCTGAAAGAGGTCGTGGTCGAAAGAGTCTTTGATTGGGGAAAAATGGAATTGGATTGGAACAAATTTGTTGACGATCGACACACTTAGATCATGGCTCGCAAGAGCTGTATCAGTTTTGAACTCCAGTGCATTAGCCCTTTAAATGAATACCTAGCACTTGACTTGAGGGAACGGCAAGGGTGACTGGGTCGGTCGAACTGAATGTTTCAACAAAAAGCATTAGCCCTTTAGAATGGATTAAACAATTCCTGCAGGTACGTTCCTGAGGCGTCCCTCGGGAATATCACAGTCTCAAACCGCCGTCTTCGTTGGGCAGTGGATGGAATGAGACTCACTGCCCCCCTGCTATCTGTACAACTGTACAACGTCTTTTTGCTTGGAACAGGACGTTCGATCCCACAACACCTGGAGCCCCAGAGTCCCCAAATCTACATCTCGATGAGCCGTTGGTCACACCACATCTTCGTCATCACCAAGGCCGGAGGTGGAAGGCGGCGAGGCAGACGGAGTGAATGTTACCGTGAATGCCAAATTCAAGCTTTGGGCCGCGAAGCAGTAGGCTTACTTACCGTCCTTGAACACTCCACCTGGCAGGCCATAGCCACAATTTGGTCAAAAAACTGAACTTGTGGAGTCGACCCCACTCTAGGTACAGTATGGCTATATAATCCAGTTTGCCTGACTCTGTCTTCCGGCCTTCCGGATGATTTCACTGCTGAGAGCATCCCACACCATCCGCAGCTGTTTGACACCTCCCCCCGTGCCGGCCTGCGGTGGCGTGTGGTGCGTGGGCAGGCAGGACCTGTGGGGGCAAAAAGCCAAGGTGAAAGGAGGTACATGGGCCTTGGGAAGTAGCTACTAGTAGCTAGAAGCTACTAGGTAGAGGCCATCGCTATTAGGGTGGAGGCCGTCGCTACTTCTACGAACGAGAAGCCACTAGTAGCCTAGTAGCTAGGCCTCTTGAAGTCTGTGGATGTTCTTTATGCCATCTGAGGCGCAGGGTCGCTGGAGATGGCCTTAGCATTTGCAGGTGATCCCACCCGCTGGGGTGGGAGAGGCATCTTCCTTGAGTCTTCCCCAGTGACAAAGACGTGACTTCATGCTGTCTAACTTGTGTGACTGTGTGAATCCACTTCACTCCAGCTACAAAGGAATATTGTTTCCTCAATATAGAAGGGACGCACCTCAGTCAGTGCTCTCCAAAATCGGAGGATGGCCCTTCCCAAAGAATTTTGATCATTCTTGCAAAGGATCTCAGATAGGCAAGTCGTGAGGACCTCAGATTGATATGAGACAAAGGTGTCTTCTGCGGCCGGGTTCAAGGGACGATGGGGGGGCCGAGGTGCCAAGGTTCAACAAAGTTGATCCAGAGATCTTGCTCCCTTCCGGCACTAGGAACAAGGACGCTACTAGGGGCTCCTGGCCTTACTACTAGGAGCAAGGACGCTACTAGGGGCTCCTGGCATCGCTACTAGGAGCATTCTTATTACTAGTAACAATGATTCTCACCACTCACTTCATGATTCTAATCAAATCATGATAAGAGTTGCACTTACAGCCGTCAAGTTGAGGACTAGCCGATGGCGATAGGACTAGGTTCTGAAACTTGATAGACTTTTCACGGAACTCCGCAACCTGCCTGCCTTACATTCTCCATTTTGGCCTTGCAAATGGATCTCAAAGCTCTCTGGATCGTCTAGGCGAGCGGTGGGAATCTGCAAAATGGGTTCAGCCGGGATCAGATCTGTGGTTTTTACCCGGGGGACATGGAGAGTGATGTGGGCATGAGAGAATGGATCAGTTTTTGTTTCAAGTGGCAGTTGCTGTTTCTACAAATTCACAAGTGGCTGAAGATGTACTGCCTCGCCTTTGGCTCGCTTGACCTTCTGATGACCACTGGTGCGAGAGGAGCCCAGCGGACAGATACGGGTCAGACAGCGAGCACCGAAGCTCTAAGAACCTGGCCACCCAGAGCCTTGGGTGCCAGAGATACGGCTTCGGCACAGCTTGATAGATGCATGCGGAGTGCAGGTGTTGGGATTGGTGACAGGTGTTTTGGTTGCGGGAAAGTGACACGTGGCTTCCCAGTGACTTAGTTATGCTTCAAGCTAAAGATGTATGCCATGCGGGCTTTTGATCTTCCCGACCCACCTCCGCTCATGCAACATGCTCAGGCTTTGGGTGTAACATGCTCCGCTCTTGTGTCATGTGGCAAGTGGGCAAGGACCCCAGATGTGTGTAACTGGCATAGGATAATACACTTCGTGAAACGTGAAAGATTATGGCCATTTATGGCCTATGGAACTTCAGAGCAGATGACCATGCCAGGGCGCTTATTCGAAGTGAGCTAGTGACCGCAAAGTCCTGTTCGCACCTTGGCATTTGAGGCATCCTGGCTCTGGCGACGGGGAGCCCAGACTTCGCTTGACAGTGGGAACTTGACAAGAGGGGGGAGGACATGTTTCTCTCGGCAGCTGAAAGGCTCTCATAGAGCTGCCGACCTTTGCCCATGTGTGGAGGCAAGCAGCGGAGTACTATGACCGGGACTTGGTCCATGTCAGGATCTGAGTGGAGCATTTGGTGCGATGGGCATGTGCATCTAAAACATATGAACCACTCCACCCGCAGCATCTAAAGCGTTGTTCTTGATGTCCACTTCTAGAAGACGTTTTGTTTGTTGAAATAACGCATTCATTCCCGTGACTGATATGCCTTGTTGATACACCTTGTTGATGGGTGGCACCAGTTGGCCGAGGCGGGCTTAACAGGTACCACGACTAATGTGTGGATTCTCAAAGCGAAGCGACAACGGACAGAAACCTTACACTTTTGGGTCGAAGGGTATGTGGCTTATACAAGTAGATTAAGCATAAGCAATAAGCAGGCATATAGTTTCTTTGGCTTGGACGCAGGAAAGCCCTCCCACGATTCATTGGGTTCTTAGATTTTGGGGGCAATGAGGACAACTTGGCCATAAATGCACTTCACGTTGCTGCTTCACGTTGCTTTTGGATGGTCTCTATGCTGTGAACTACACCTGATTTTTGCAGGTTTTTTTCGAGCTATATAGTTGATGAATCTGCAAAAATCGGGGAGAACGTCTCTACGCAAGAGTTGCTTGATTCTTGTGTGACTAATTCCACCTGCGTTGAGGATAATCGCCAGCAAAGGTCACCATCGAGTCGTTCTCTTATGGCGGCTGCTTCTCAGCAGATGTGGCCTTGGGAGTGCTTCCCGCTTGTGATTTTGTGACGGGTGACGCTTCGATTCAAAACAGGACTGCTTTCTGTTCATGAAGGGCAGTGCTCTTTGGAAGAAAGCTGCAGCATCCGTCTTGCAGTTACAGTTTGATCTATCTCAGGGCCCCTGACAGAGGAGTTTGGCATTCTTTTAACATTCCTCTCACTATTTATCACTTCTCCCGTCTCGTATCCCTTTCTTCCCTCGGATATGATCAGCATTGGTCTTTTGCAGCTAAACTCCAACAGTGCCAGGCGCTGGGCTCAAACTACTCTACCTTTTCCGTGTCGATCTCTTCGCCCTCCCAGTGTGCCTGGACCACATACAGAGCTTGTCAAGAAGTATGACTTAAGCGGTTTGCACCACAGACCAAACTCTCAAGACCTTAAGAATTCAAATTGATCCCGAAGACCTTTATGACCGGAGACCTTGGCAGCTTTGAGGTGCTGACCTCTGCTCTGACCGAGAAGCGTTCCTGGTTGGGCTGGCTGAGTGCATTTGTGTGAAGGTGCGTTGCTCCGTCGGGCGGACTCCGAGGAACACTTGCTTGGACTCTTACACTAAGAGATGAGATGCAGAAACCTTGGTTGAAGCGTCGAGGGTGGATTTGCATTTGAGCCCACTTCCCCATGCTGCCGTGAGGAAGAAACAGATAGGAGTTCTGATGGGAACACTCATAGAAGTGGCCCAATTATATACTGTACCTAAAGTTGCTGCAGGTATATATTGTAAGGGCTTCGCCCGGGTGCCGCCGACCCCTTTTCAAGAGGAGTGGAGGCTGCGTGGCATGCGCTAAAGCCCACAAAGGTGGAGATGCCAATGCCAAGGTTGTGCCCTGCGACCCCAGGATATACACCAACAACAGCAATCACAGCAGCAGCACTAAGAAGAAGACCCAGAAGCATCACAAGATCAGAAAAACCACTAGCAACAGGCAGCAAGAAGCATAGTAGCAATGCCCCTGTTCTGGCTGTGCTAATAGACTGGCGGCTGTTTGCGGGGGCCTTG